AACCCTCCTCCACTGCTGGTGGGAGTGCCAACTTGTACAGCCACTTTGGAAGTCAGTATGGCGACTCCTCAAGAAAATGGGAATCAGTCTACCACAAGATCCAGCAATTCCACTCCTAGGCATATACTCAAGAGAAGCACATTCATACTAAAAGGACATCTGTTCAATGATGTTCATAGCAGCACTACTTGTAATAGCCAGAAATGGGAGCGGCCTAGATGACTCTCAACTGAAGAATGGATGGAGAAAATGTGGTACATTTACACAATGGAGTACTACTCAGCAATGGAATCTTGAAATTTGCAGGCAAATGGATGGAACTCGGAGAAACCATTCTGAGCGAGGTAACCAAATCACAAAAAGATAAACACGATATGTACTCACTCATATGTGGATTTTAGACATAGAGTAAAGGATTACCAGACTACAATCCACACTGACGGAGAAGCTAGTAAACAAGGAGGACCCTAAAAGAGACAAACTTTGTCCCCTGGAGAAGGGGAAAGGGTCACCATCCCCTGAGCAAATTGAGAGTAGGGGAAGAGGGGGGAGGGAGCTACGAGAATGAGAAGGGAAGAAAAGGAAGGATGCAGAGGTCATGAGGGAGCAAAAAGGTTGAGTCAGGTGTAGATTAGAAGGAAGGATATGTGATAGGTAAGGTTTTAGTTGGGGGGGGATGGTAGGGGAGGAAGGGAGGGAGAAGGGAACTGGGATTGTCATGTAATTCAATCTTGTTTGTAATTCAAATAAAAAAAAGCAAAAAAAAAAGAATTAAAATCCTCAGAGGCCATATGAATCCAGATATGGTCATTTATATCACCAACCCCAGTGCTTCTAAGGCAAGATGGGAAGCAGAAACAAGACAGTCCCTGCAGCTCACCAGCCACTTAACCTGACACACCTACCAGTGAACAACAAAAGATAGCCCATCTCAAAAAAGGTCCTAAGTGAGAACCAACACCTAAGGCTGTCCTTGGACCTCTACTCATATGTCATAAAACCCACACACCAGTGCTGACACACACACACACACACACACACACACACACACACACACACACACACACACGCACACACACACACACACACACACACACACACGCACGCACACACACACGCACACACACACACACACTATATATGCAAAGTTTGATTTTTTTTTAAGAAATAAGAATGGGGATTGAGAGTACTTACTGATGTTCCAGAGGACTGGAGTTTGGGTTCCCAGCACCTGTGTCAGGCACTTGAACTCATATACATGTACCCACTTACAGGCACACACATGGACACACACAGACATAAACACAGACACAAATATACATAATTAAGTTAAAAATACAATCTTTTAAAAAGTAATAATGTTTCAATTATGTAATTTTAAAAACATCTTATCCTACTTGGGTTCAGTATACTAGCCTGTGTATCACTTAGAGATAGATAGTGCAATTTTCAAGTATTTTCCTTCTTAATTTCTAGCTAAAGTTCACTACCATCAGACAACACAATCTATGTGACACCGTTCTCTGAGGTTCATGAAGATGTAGATTATAGACTGGGATATGCTCAGTTTTGATTAATTATCCACAGGTTCAAAAGAGTATGTGTTCGGAACTTGGATAATGTCCTGTGTAACACAAGACAAAGTTTGTTTAATAAATTCTCACATTTTGTATGTCTTTGGTGATTTTTTATCCTGTGGATCTGTCATTTACTCAGAATGGTCCCTGGATCTTGAATTAGAATCATGTGTTTATTTGTAGTCCTGTCAGACAGTCTGTGGTATTCAGAGGGAAAGGCCTCCTCTCCTGTCATTTACTCCTTCCCAATATCTGTGAGCCTGGGTCTGGTCCCACTGCAGAATGGACACAAGTATGAGCCTGGTTCCTGACTCAGAAGCAGTGGGGAGACAGATGAATGCTCCCTGTTAGTTGTAACATCGCTGAAGTGCCTAAGCTTGTATCCAGGTTGTGAGCTTCCAAGACCCTCCCTGTCAACCTCCTGTGTAGTGCTGAACTATATAGATGGGCACCACTGTGCCTGGCTTCTGCATTCCTTATGAATGCATAGGTGAGGAACATGGAGAAATTAAAGAATGAATGAATACGCAAATAAATGAATGAGAACACAAATCAACCAGTAGGGCCCATGCATGAGCTTCTTCACATGAACTGAGGACTCTAATTTACTCAGACATACATACTTGAGGAAGGGAAATAAAGAAAACAGTTGCAACCAGGTGGTGGTGGCACATACCTTTAATCCCAGGACTCAGGAGACAGAGACAGATAAATCTCTGTGACTTTGAGGCCAGTTTTGTCAACAGAGCTAGTTGCAGGACAGCCAGGTTTTTACACACACACACACACACACACACACACACACACACACACAAGACAATTGCTTCCATGGCAAGTAGACAATACAGAAGACCCTAAGCATTGCTCAGGGATTCAGAAGATGCTGTGAGACTCTTTTAATTGCATTAGCACTACACAGACCTTGGACTACAGATAGTCACACTCTCAAGGACAGGAGACTACTATGTGTAGCCAGAGCCCCTGTCCCACTTATGTTGGCACACAGGTACTATTCAGGATGGAGAAGTGGGAAAACCAAGGTCGAGCATCTACTTGGAAAACACAGTTCACCTGAAAAAAATAATCATAATAAATAAGTTAGAACATTATAATACATAGAGATAATGCAGCACATAGTAGGATCTCAAGATACAATTTAAAAAAAAAAACATTCCTTTCAAAAAATAAAGCTAAAACAGCCATTTTACAGGAGTAGGGGCCATAAGCTCAAATCTCCACTAGGACAATGGACACAAGTCACAAAATTCCCCCACCTAAGACAAGGGGGTCCTGAAAAAGAAGCTGCCTGGAGTTTTCACCCTGAGACATCCTGTCCTCACAGCTCACCACTCTCCTTCCACCCTACAACATATGATGGTGGATGAATTTCTCCATCCCAAGGATCCTGAAGGAACCAACAGTTGACATAAGATTCCATCAGGTGCTTCCCAGCTGAACAGCAGCACAAACCATTCCAAATGACTCTGCTCCAAGGCCATTAGTTGGAAACCAAACACTAACATACTGGATTACATGACACACAGGACAAAATGGTGTCATCCAGAATCACCCAGAATCTATCTGGAAGTCAGAGTAAGCAGATAAATTAAATAGTTCCAAACCCCAAGGGATGGGCAAAGGAGGGATGATGACCACAGGAGGAATTTAATCTTCTCAAATCCTGATGGTCTCTGAAGGCACAGGTCCAAGACCACAAGGATGGTTCTGTCATAGATGGAAGCCATGTGGGCATCTTCATCAGAGGATTGCCACTGGCATGAGAGCCAGACTCTGTCTGCTTAAGATGGCCCCTTCTGTGTGGTTTCTGGTAGATCAACCACGCTCCAGTGGATGACCCCACACTCAGGAATACATTGGCCACACAAACTGGACGAAACAGGTTAATAAAAGTAGGATATGAAGTTGGGGAGTAAGGGTGGGAAGAGCTAGGGGACAACTGGGGAGAGAATATGATCCAAATACATGCACAAAATTCTCAAAGAATACAAAATCTTTAAGATAAAAATAAATTAATTAATTAATTAATACGGGGAGAAGATGACCCCTTCTGTTTCCATTGAGGGAGCCCTGAAATGTGCCTCATTCTGCCTGGATTGCCCCACACCCTTCCTAAACCCCGTCTCAGGCTTTGTATCATTCATTATCTCTTCTTTCCCAAAAGGTCAGTTGTAATTGGGATGGTTTTATTATCTAACCTTTTTTTCTCCTGAGCCTTGTAGCAATGGGCAATTACTCAAGTTTTCATCATGTTTCTTACAAATTGTGCGGCCCATCTCCAAATCCATTAAAAAAATCATTGTCCATGTCTGTAGAAAATAAATTATGCAAATAGATGTTATTTTTCATAACATAAATACAAAAACAAGAAGAAATTCAAGTAGAAAATGAGCAAATGCCTGGAATATGCGTATGTTTATAAATAGGCATCTATATGACACATGCCATCATTGTATATCAACAGAAATGTGCCCATAAGAGTCACAAGACATATGCCAGTTTTTTTCCAGTACCTCCTGCTAAACTCTGGCACTCTGAAGGGGCATGGATGTGTAGGGCATAACACATTCACAGGATCACAATCAAATCCTACACAATCAACCTGCATACACTACAGCCATACATGGCAATGCGACAACTCTCAAACATTCACCTGAGCAGCATAGACCAGATTAAGAAATCCAATTAAATCAGATTAAGAAATGGGCCAGATTAAGTGGCTAAGCAACTAGTTTAACTAGACGAGGAAGCAGGTACAACTCTACCTTGCTGAGGGATAAGGAGCTTGGGGATGTATTGTCTTTCATATGACTGCTGACAGCATGCAAGTGTTCCTTTTAGAGACAGACTGAAGTGAATACATAGGCACCACCCAGTTTTGAAATCCTCTCAAGATGATGTGAGAAGTTGTTGAGAGCAACTGTCATACCTTTAAATAGAGATGCATGAAAACTCAGAAAGCACCAAGCAGGGCATCCTCCCAGAGAAGAACATTCATCTCAGTGGATTGAAAAGGAAATTGCCCAAAAAGCTGACTAAATGGGGCACTCGGGAGTCCATGCAGGTAAAGGTAACACCCACCCTTGCCCAACACACACCAAATACACAACAAGCCTCAACAAAACGCAATAGCAGTCTTTACCTATATGGATGCTTGAGATATACCAAGAATACACTTGTTCATCACATCTGAACCATACCACCATGTTCAGGCCCATATGATGTGCTAAGCCTGCATCCCCACGGCTGTGCAGCAACTAGAGGTGACAAAGTGTTTGATACCAAGGGCTCCTGAGGTCCAGGGCCCAGGGATAACAATAGCTCAAGACACTTAAGGGTTAAGAAAATGGGTCCTTGGTAAGGGAGGGTCTCCAGACCAGTGGCTGCAGAGTATGCTGCAGGCCCAATCCTCTCTTCACCAGTCCCTGCTGATGCTCCCCCACCCCAGGTCTGTTCATTAAGGGACAAATGTTCTACACATGGACTCACCTTTTTCTGGGCTCTCCCAACTTCAAGCAACCTGTATGTGTTCTCTTCTGGGTTGTTGTCATTGAACTGAGTCACAGCAAACTCCACTGATGCGACAAAATAATCTAGATCCTTAGTAATGTCTACAAATTCTTTGTCAATGGTCCATATATGAGTACCCATCACAACCATCGCTACAAGCAGTGACACCTTCCACAGCATGGCTGTCCTTTTCATCAGCCTAGGGACTGGGACACAAGGGTAAAGGGAGGGAACAGCAACAGTTGGTAACGCCTTTCTCAACTCAGGATCCCACGTCGTTCTGCCCATCAGAGCCCTGTGCTCCTGAATGCCTCCTTTTGTGCTTCTGTCTAAGCTCTTATCTCCACTCCTCTGCATTGTGCCTTCTCACCACTCCAAACAAAAGGCAGAGCAGAAGGAGACTTTCCCTACCCTGTGGTGACACAAACCCTGAAGTGACAAGCATCCACAGACATATCTTCTTTATGCCCATCTCTGGGCCGTCACTAAGCCTTGCCAGGGCAGATCCCACTTGTGCCACAGTCTAGAGGCACTGTGCCAGCCACATTTGTCCTTATGCAAGGCTGGAAAGGATTCCCAGGGTCAGAAGACCTCTTGAGAAATCTGGTGAACTCAATCCTGGGGAATGGAAGCAGTTGTTGCCCTTGCCTGCAACTCACACCTCCTTCCAAGCTCAAAGCCAATAGTTTAGGGATGTCCACGAGATGCCACCTTCCTCTTTGATCAGTCTAATCTGGCTCCATTCTCTGGGTTTTCTGTGCTCATTATCAGTTCCCCTTGCTTCTAACTTTCTCTCATCTCTGACATTTTTTACGGCCTCTGGACTCTAATTACTGAACCACTTCATTCTAATCACAGCTGATTTCAAATCATCTTTTTGCTTACCAACTTCTAACTCAAGTCAACCATAGTTTGATGACATCTATTCTATCTTTCCTTTCTTTGAAATATATTGAGATTTATTTTTGTTATTATTGTTGAGAAGATGACCAATATTTCCTGTGCTTTAGAAGAGCACATTTTGGACCCCAGGAATCCTGAGCAAATGAACTGCACCTTTGAGTCCAGCCCTAATTGTTAATACAATGAGCCAAACAAATAAAATTGTTATTGTTTTAAGTTACTTAGTTGTGGGGAAGATGGTTATGTTTGCTACAAAGAAAATTTGTCTGATTTAAAGTGACAATTTTGTTTCTGTTTTTAACCTTTTTTTTTTTTTTTTTGGTTTTTCAAGACAGGGTTTCTCTGTGTAGTTTTGGAGCCTATCCTGGCACTTGCTCTGGAGACCAGGCTGGCCTTGAACTCACAGAGATCTGCCTGCCTCTGCCTCCTGAGTGCTGGGATTAAAGGTGTGCGCCACCAATGCCCTGTTTTTTAACCTTTATTGTTGCTTTTCTTGCTTTATCAATACAAGATTAGATATGAGCATGATTGCAAGCATCTGTATTTACTTCTTTATTTTTAAAAAGGATTATTTCGATGTATAACTGTTAATAATGTGAACTGTTGTTTTTTGTAGATATTATTTTCAGGCTTTAAAAGTTTCCTCTAATTTCTTTCTTTTCTGCTTCACTTAAAACTTTTAGTTAAGAATAAACATAAAATTTTACAAATAAAAAAGAAGATCATATTTTGTAAGCATAGTGTTAAACCAGTATATAGTAAGTCTCTGTTCAATGGTTTCAGAGAATCTCTGACCTGGTATCTAATTCTTGTTCCACATTTGAGACCAGTCACTCCTGAATTCACTAAGACACAGCAGAACATAGTATAGTTATTACCTAATACTAGAATATTTTGTACTTTTGGAATAATTTGAATATCATGTATATATAGGAAAGGAAAATGCCTCCCTGAAATCCAGTCATGCATCCATAAGTAGTTAGTGTATCCTTATCAGACTCAGGATCAAGTGCCCTAATCATTCACCCAAAAGTAGTTAGGGTATCCTCAGACTCAAGATCAAGCCCCCCAGTCACTCATCCATAAATAGATGAATGATCCACTCATGTCTAAGAGGATTAAAGACCTCAAAAAAATCCAGCTACACTAAACCTGATGAAAGAGAAAGTGAAGAATATCCTTTCGTGCTTTGGCACAAGAGACAACTTTCTGAATTTCCTCAGACTCGGGACCAAGGCCTTCACAGTCATTTATCTATAAGTGATTAGTATGTCCTCATCAAACTCAGGATCAAAATTCAGTGCAGTCATTCACCAATGGTAGAGAGCAAGAATTTTCTTCCTGACATTTGGTAAAATACTTTTGTGTGTGTTGGAGAACTTTGCTGAAAGGGCAAGCAGTTGTTAGAAAAGCATAGGCATAGGCTGCTCTTGGATTCAAATGTCTGAGGATGAATTTTGAGACTGGAGGGTGCTCTCCTTTCCTTACCTGCCTATCTATCACCACTTTGCTTATGGACAAAAATCTTTGGATGTTCTTGTCCTATTTAGGGACATTTCTAGTCCCTGGGTCTCAAAGTGTCTGAGTGTTTCTATTTAAGAAGTCTAGAAGGACTAAGATAGCAACATGTTGAGAAAGAAACCAGGGAAATAACACTCTTCACAATGGCCACAAAAATATAAAATATCTTGGGTATCTCTAACCAAGCAAGTGAAAGACCTGTATGACAAAAACTTCAAGTCTTTGAAGAAAGAAATTGGAGAAGATATTAGAAGATGGAAAGATCTCCCATGCTCGTTGGTCAGTATAATTAACAGTAAAAATGACTATCTTACCAAAAACAATCTACAGATTTAATGCAATCCTTATCAAAATTCCAACACAATTCTTTACAGACCTACAAAGAACAATAGTCAACTTCACATGGAAAAAGAAAAAACACAGAATTGCTAAAACTATCATGTACAATAAAAGAACTGACAGAGGTATCACCAGACCTGATCTCAAACTCCCTAACAGAGCTGCAATAATAAAAACAGCATTGTATTGCCATAAAACATAGGTACATTGATCAATGGAATTGAATCAAAGACCCAGAGAAAAATCCACACACCTATGGACACTTGGTTTTTTTATGAAGAAGCCAAAATTATACAATGGAGAAAAGAAAACATCTTCAATAAATGGTACTGGCATAATATATAGAAGAATACAAATAAATCCATATTTATTACCCTGCACTAAACTCAAATCCAAGTGAATCAAACATCTCAACATAATTCCAGTTACACTGAACCTGATAGAAGGAGAAAGTGGGAAATAGCCTTGAATGCAGTGACACAGGAGACACCTTCCTGAATAGAACACCAGTAGCACAGACACTGAGATTAACAATAAATGGGACCTCAAGAAACTGAAAAGTTTATGTAAGGCAAAGGACACTGTCAATAGGACAAAATGGCAACCTACAGAATGGGGAAAGATCTTTCTTCACCCTTCTCACATCTCACAAAGGGCTGATTTTCAAAATATATAAAGAACTCAAGAAACTAGACATCAAAATAACCAAATAATCCAATTTAAAATGTAGTACAGACCTTATGATAGTTTGAATATAATTGACACCCATAATCTCATAAGGAGTGGCACTATTATGAAATGTAGCTTTGCAGGAGTGGGCATGCCCTGGTTGGAGGAAGTGTGTCACTGTGGGGGTAGGTATTGAGGCTTCCTATGCTCAAACACAGTGCCTCAGTCAACTTCCTGTTGCCTGCAAGATGTAGGACTCTCAGCTACTACTCCAGCACCACATTTGCCTGCATGCCCCCATGCTCCCTGTTGTGATGATAATGAACTGACTTCTGAAACTGTAAGCGAGTTACTCCCAATTAAGTCTTTTCTTTATAAGAGTTTCTATGGTCACGGTGTCTCTTCACAGCAGTAGAAACCCTAAGACATATCTGAACAGATAATTCTCAACAGAAGAATCTCAAATGGCACTTAAAGAAATGTTCAAAATTCTTAGCCATCAAGGAAACGCAAATCAAAACAACTGTGAGATTCCATCTTATACCTGTCAGAATGGCTAAGACTAAAAATACAAATGACAGCTTAATCTGGAGAGAATGTGGAGCAAGGGAAACACTCAGCTGTTAAAAACAATGGTATCAGACCCAGAGAGACAAACACAGTATGCACTCACTCATAAATGGTTATTAACTATAAAGTAGAGGATAACCATGCTATAATCCACAAACCAGAGATCCTAGGTAACAAGGAGGGCCCAAAGGAGAATGCATAGATCTCCCTGAAAAGGAGAAATAGAAGAGATCTCCCTGGATGTACTGGGGTGGATGCAGATGGACACTTGAGGGTTAAATTGGAAGCTGGGTGAAGGGAGAGAGAACAGAAAGAGATCGCTGGAAGTAGGGGCTTTCAGGGTCAGATAGAAACCTGATGCAAGGGAAACTCCCAGGAATTTACAAGGATGACCCCAGCTAAGACTTCTAGCAATAGTGAATACGAGTGAATATGTACGTACCTGAACTGACCATCTCCAATTGTCACCAGAAAGCCTTCATCTAGTAACTGATTGAAACAGACGCAGAGACCCATAGACAAATATTAGATCGAACTTAGGGAATACTGCTGAAGAGAGAGAAAGGTAGGATTATAAGAGCCAGAGGGGTCAAAGACATCACAAGAAAACCCACAGAATCAACTAACATGGATCACAGGAACTAACAGTCTGAAGCAACAATCAGGAAGCCTGCATGGGAGGGCAACCTAAACCCTCTCCATATGTGTGACAGTTGTGTAGATTGGTCTACATGTGGCAATCCTAACATAGGCTCTTGGAACCTATTACTCATACTGGTTTGCCTTGCCCAGACTAAATACAAGGGGAAGTGCTTAGGCTTACTGCACCTTGATATGTCATGCTTTGTTAATACCCATGGGAGGCTTGCCCCTTTCTGAACAGAAACAGAGAAGTAGATTGGAGGGGGCAGAGGAGAGGTAGGGGATATAAAGTAAATTAATTAATTAAATTTAAATTTTTCTTTAGTTTAAAAAATAAACATTATGTACTTATCAAACAAAGGAGATTTCCTTTATTGGGCTTGCATAAGACTCAGAGTGGAGTAAAAAGTCCTTGAAGCCCCACTGGAAAGCAGAGCCTGGGCCTAGCCTCCAGCATGTGTGGAAGTACATGCTCACTGAGACCAGTGTGTGCAGAACAGAGAGCCTGGACTGGCCTCTGTCACAGCATAGTTCTTATACATGGATGCCAT